AATTCAACGTTGTCAGTCAACTTTATTCTGTTGATTTCCATTAAAAGATTCAACGTTGTCACAACGTTCTGTTGCCTGACGTTGCCTGACGATATGTCCTTTTCACGTCGCTACAAGGTTAAGTTTTTGTATGCTAAGGTATTTTACGTTGTCTTAACATTCCATTTAATGTTTATAAACTTACGGGCAAAACGATACCAGGTCGAAATCACTAATATTATCTTACCGTCATGTAAAATACTGTAAGTTCAATCGTCAATGACGCTTTAACAAGTTTCCGTGTCACTCTCACCACCCCACCCTCCAAACTATCCGCCGAGAAGCTGTATCGCTAACAATCGTATGACGTCGTAATATGACGCATGCAGTGCACGGAGTTCGAAAACCGTTCGATTAGCTGCTTTTGAGTTCAGTATGTACACCTTATTTTACCGACTTCCCTGTTTTATTTATACTATTTTATACACTGAATCGTTTGCACATTCAACTTAACATAATTAACCATTTTTATAGCAGTTTGAAGCTTGTCAGAATATGTTTCCCTGATCTTTAAAATCCAGTCGAGAGGCAGACGCCATTTTGTTTACATGTCATATGGTTGGTAGCGATCTTCAACATAAAATATAATGATATTTTGTACATTTAACATGGCGGTAAGATAAATACGTTGTATGCTACTCCCTCGGGTAATACGGTCTGAGCCTACCGGCTCTGGTGACACTGCTACAAAGAGGCGTATTACCCACGAGAGAAGCATACAACTTATATTACAAAACGACAAACCACCATTGTGAAAAAGGACAGTGGATCTTAATAACAGGTGTATGGCCAACACGCACTTGGTCATGTCATTGGAGTAGCAACAACAACAAGTCCATTGAGTCACTGTATAAAAGAAGGAATGAAGTGTCCAGTATTCGATCACAGATAAAAACATAACAGCACACGCACGTGGTCAGTATCTGGTATGTCCACCGTGGGCATCAATGCAAGACCTAACTCTGCGACGTGCTGAGAACGTCAGAGGCCGTAATCCTTGGGCAGGGATCCTTCGTCATTCTTCTTGAAGGGCTTGTACAAGCTGACGTTTGTTTCTAGCAATAACAGCTCTAGTACGAATCTGACGATCCAAATGGTCCCACAAGTGTTCAACTGGTGACATGTCAGGTGACCTGGAGGGCCAAGGAAGCACATTGACGTTGTTTTTCTTTCGAAATTCAATGACACTACGTGTTGTGTGAAGACGGGCGTCGTCCTGCTGATACGTGATCCGGTTATGACGTTGACGTAGGAACAGTAGCACAACCGGACGCATAATTTGATCAGTGTATCGTTGAACTGTGAGATTACACACACACACACACACACACCACAAGATCTGTCTTCATATCACACACCACCAGATCTGTCTTCATATCGCTACATACGCCACCCCAACTCTTACACCGCCGCACCCCAGACGGTTCCTCTCCCTGTATGCAGCAACGTTGCACACGTCCTCCACGGCGTCAGTGGAGACGAGCCCTGCCATCATTCTTGAACAGCCGGAACCTGCTTGAAATCGTCTGAGAACACCACTCTCTGCCACTGGCTGTTTTGATAGAACCTTGCCTGCCCATTGACATCAATGATGTAGCGTCAGCCGTACACCTCGGTAGGGTCTGTAGGCACGGATACCGTATTGTCTGAGTCGTCGTGCTGCTGCTGCTCCTGTCTCAGGTAGTAAACGGTTTCTTGGGTGCAGGATACCTACGTATCGGTCTTCGTTGGGTGGGGAGGGAGGGGATGCGCCCTGTTTGCCTGTAGCGGGTCACCAGCCTCGTGATGGTTAGACGTGTACAGCCCAAGGTCGCTGCAGCATGTGCATGAGTGGCACCCATGTGTACCATTCCAATGGTTCTCTCTCTGGATTCCTGCGATTATCGGGGCATGGTCGCTGTAGTTGACTTGAAGGACTGATGTGGAGGAAGGTTTGTGTGCACACTCCCATATACCCCCAATAATGCATGTTTTTATGCAATCTGTTCACGAGATTTTCGTGCTTCACGACCTGTTGCAGTAATACTGTTCGCCCAAACACAACATTTTTCATGACAAATGTTAGGAAAGCGTTGTGGCGATTGTTTTCAGCTCATAACTACGAACAAAATTTGAGTTGTGTTTTATATTCATTTATTTTAATGAAGAAAACCTCTTTGATGTAACTAAAAGAAGGAGAAAAATATTTCTTAAACACATATTCGAATGTGATTATTACCAGCATTTCACCTTATATTTCCACATGTATATTTCTGAATAAGATTTAGGAATCATACATCGGATTTGTTTTATGGAATATGCAAATAAAATAATCTTTTTCGGCTACATTAAATCCCCAAAACAGATTATTCGTGTAACCTTGCTGCCATACCCCTGCTGGAATTTTAAATGAACACGCTGAAAAAGGCTGAAGGACCCCAGAAACGTCAGACTGAAATATCCCCAGAGATGTTAAATGTAAGCCCGGTGTTAAAGATTAAAGTTGATTAGTTATACGGCATATATTGTCTTGAAACACGCAGTGATTTGTAATTCTATTTCCTAAAAATGTCGGAAAGCGGACGTAAAATCTGAAAGACCAGTTTGAAGACGGTTTACGTTCGGGTTAAATATCTTCTCTCAAATATTTGATTAACAAAAACCATATTTGGGGCAATGTGAATGTCGCATTTCTACTTCCAACGTATCTTTTTATCAGTACTTGAAGATGAAGCGCGACATTCCACGGATACATTTTGGGAATGTAAACATACGGAACTTTGCCGGGTCGCTGTTTAATTGCGAGTCGAATTGAGACATTTTAACCGTCGGAAAACATAAACGTAATGTTTCCGACAGTGATGTTAGCTGCGTGAATCAACTGCAAACCAAGAAACGGGATGCAACGGAGTAGTTTACTGTAGGAGGCTGTACGAGGCATGACAACTGACATGCATCGTAACGTCGCTTACACTGTGACGTAATGCAAAATTGTTCGATTACGAGGGGGCAGACTAGAATGGCGCAGTGACGCCAATACATTGTGACGTAATGCAAAAATGTGCACGTTATCGCCTGATAAAGTTCTGTTAGCGCTTTTGATCTTTCAACGAAGCATCTTAGAACTTCTCATCAGATCAAATAACTCTCTCAGAGTATACCTACCCCTGGACTCACTAAAGGAATGTTATGATCACCCCAAAGAGATTCATTCCCCTTCCGCAAATCAATTCTGCCTGTCTGATGATTCTGATAGAAGAATGTCGAGAAGCTATGCAAGTTGATATGTTCCCTTACTCGGAACGTAAAGGTAGCTCGATCAAAACAGGATGACAGAGTATTGGATGTACTCACCGTGAAAACCATCCTCAACCCCACTGTTACGAAAATCCAGTGATGTACAGTTCTGGGCTGAACCCGAGAGTGTCATGTCAAGATTGAGAAGCACAGAGTCAGCTGAGATACACTGTAGAGAGATCCAGAAGTTGGTTGACGCCGGCTACGTGAAGATACTGAAGGGTGAGGGTGAACCTGTTTCAGATTATCTAAGTTTGGTATTCTATGGCGCTGACATGTTTTCTTTTTCTTTAATTCCTATGAATATGAGTAATGTAGCTTTTATTGACTGGGTGTATCATCAATTGTTGTCAATCAAGTGTACAGTACACAACCCTGTGCACTTCAAAGAACCGTTGAATCCGTTGCTAAATGACCAGATGGTGGCGACATGAATGCGTGCAAACACCTAGTTGTGGGTACAGCAACTTGCAGTAAAACTTGGACAAAGTACTGTGACTATGTAAAGCACTGTTTAGGGTGGCGTAACAGCCCAGACCGTACGTACCGCTTCCGCACTGCCCATCTTTGTGTCCGAAGGTCGATTCTGACACAGATAAAACGTAATGATGGGCACAATTGCAGATGGCTAGACTGCCTGCAAAATGAGGTATTGACTTCATGGAGTGGCCAGCGACACCACCTGACCTCAATGTCATCGAACACGTATAAGCTGCTATTGGAAGATGTCTTCACACCTTGAAACGTCAATCCCAGAATGCTCAAAAGCTGGGCGCCATGTTGGTACAGCAATGATGCAGGTTGCCTAATGCTGTGTTCAGGGGTGCCAAGCAGTCGGTGAGACAACGTTGCCTTCCTGTTGCGATTGCGAGAGGGGGCATACACGGAACAAACTTCAATGCAGATGTCCAGTCCCTGTGCTCAAATAAACAAATAACAAATGCATCAGTATGGCAGAAGAAAACGAGTGGAATAAAGATTCATAAGGAGCATAATACAAAAACAGTGACGTATACAATAAAGACAGAGATGGTGATATTCACCTCTAAGCAACAGTTACCTAACTTGCAAGAAAAGCCTAGGCAGATGAGTATCCAGGCTATAACAATCACCACACGTACTGCCAGTCCTTTTGAGATGTAATGTGTGGCAGTAGTGTTATAGTTGCAGGGCGACTTGGACTGACTGACTGAGTTTGATTTTACGCCGCTTTTAACAATATTCCAGCAACATCACGGCGGGGGACACCAGGCGACTTGGACCAAAGTAAAGTCTATTTGCGCCCAACACATTAATTGAAGTTGAACTATATATATCCTAAATATAAGTAGGCCTACTGCAAATGTTTATATTTACCATGCAAACAAATGTATTCACTATCCAGATATTTTGATGAAATGACAGGATCTTCTGTTTGATGATATGAATTAAAACATCAAACAACCACTTCTTGTTTTCGAAAAAACAACAACCAAAAAACACATAAAAATATGATGCTCGTTCAATAAAAAAGCAGGAAAATCAGACTGAAAAGGAAATGTTGAAACGATTTAATCGCAATAAATGAATGTGAGATAAGAGCAAGAGTTATCTCCCCTTGTATATGAAAGAAAACGAAGGATAATGCTAAGTGCATATGATCCTGTAGAAAGGGGGCACGCACCTAATACAACCATCGGGCGGTTTAGCGTCAGTCAGCCATGGGGTAAGGCAAATACACAATTGTCTTTTAAATGACCAACGTTCGTGGGAGGTAAACCTGCTTCAGTTATCATCAACACCAGCGTCACCTTCACTTGTACCTCGATGCTGTGCATTTGCTGACTGTATTTGTGCTTGTGGGGAACATCACACAGTAATGACCTAATTATGCTAGGTCGTTCTGACTGGGTCACCTTGTTCCACGTGCGGTCGGCAAGGGCGAGGTTGTTTTCAGTGGCCGACCACCTCGGGATTATCCTATATGTAATCATGCTTTCGTCATCTGAATATCATCTTAACATGGTGGCTAATATCACATACATAGAGGATACTAAACGACCTTCCGTGTAATACCAATATTAAACGAGTTAATAATTTGGTATCAAACGAGCGAAAGTGAGTTTTATACTAAATCTTTCACGAGTTTGATAAAAATGATATTTCACGGAAGCGAGTTTAGTATTCTGTTTATTACTCTCCAACATAAATAGAGGAGATTATATGAGTGCCCATGTCATACTAAATACAGTGCCTAAATGTTGGCATTTCCCGAGCGAGAGCGAGGGATATACCGATATGTAGGCAGGAGTGTCGTAAACATAGTGTGATATGGGTACGAATATAATATTCTGTTTATTACCGAAGTTGTTAAATTGAGGAAAATAGACCGAAATCTACTTTCAAACGAAGGCTGGCTGCCCGCCGTCACCGCATGTAGAACCCAACGTCACAGAAGAAACGTTACGTCATAGCCTTGTTCATGACGTCACGTCACCATGACAAAGTGATATTTTGCCCTAGGGCATCGTATGAAAAATATTAACCCCGATATGACTGCCCTCGTAAGTAATAAATATTGATAGAAACTGCCTACAGTGTGATGACTCTCAGCTTTCCACGAGTCAAACAAGGTCTAATACCATTGTGACAGAGGTATTAGCATTGTGACGTCATAACTGTACCAATATGACGTCATACGTCTAGCGGTATTACACTAGTGTAATAATGCCGTGAAAATATTACACTGTAGTATCTTCCACGGGCGAGTAATAAATGTCATTCTGGAGAAGGAATTTGGTAAGGACGTGACATTGGAATAAAGACATTCCCTCAATCCCACAGACACACCGGCAGACAGTGGAATGTATCCGAAATGGAATAAGATCCACTTGTTTACTAGTTTACGTTACCATCACATTAAAAATTGAGGGCCTACATTTAGAATACAGCACCACAAACTTTAAAAATACGTCACAATACACTTTTACGTAATTAAGTGTGATTTTGTTCGAAAGCACGTTCTCGAAACAATGCCCTATGTCGCCTCCATGGCAACACGGTTGTCTAGCTCAGCTATCTGCTCGAGCTATGTCATTGCAGAAGCCTAACGATGTCAAGAGTTTCCAGTAGTTGTATACCGGCGGATGCGCAATTTTTTTGCAAGCACCAGTTTGAAATTTTTCTTTTTTTCACTAATATGCTCATATTTATTTGTATTACGGGGTGCTGAGGTGTTATGTTTTGTGTATTATTGCGTTTTGTATCTTTAAAATTTAGCGAGAATGCGTTACACCGGTCTATATTATATATATTCGATTATTCGCAATTTTGGTTAATGTAATTATTTAAATTATGTAAATATATTTTATATTTCGGTTTCTAAGTAACTATTAAGTCTAAATGATTTACCAATGTGAACTGACATACATATATATTTTTTTCATTCAGTAATTTGCACCATTACATAAAAAAGTTTTTTATTTGTTTCTTATTTTTCGAAGCGGTAATGATGTACTACACTGGACACGTCAGTCATGTTTGTGCCGGTTTGGTCAATGCATTAGTATTATTTCAAGGGTTCGGGTTAGGTCTAGGGCTTGGGGCTAGGGGCTAGGGGCTGAGGGTTAAGGGTTTAGGGTTTAGGGTTAGGGTTAGGGACCTAATCCAATATCTAGTAGGTATATGTCCGGTGTAGTAAGTGAGTACCATTTGTTGTTTTTCCTTTGATATTTTAATACTGCCGGTTCGGTCAACCCATTCTATTTATTAGGAGGGCGGTGAGGTAGCCTAGTGGTTTAAGCGTTGGTTCGTCACGCCGAAGACACGGGTTCGAATCCCCACATGGGTACAATGTGTGAAGCCCATTTCTGGTGTCCCCCCGCCGTGATGTTGCTGGAATATTGCTAAAAGCGGCGTAAAACTAAAAACTCAGTCAGTCAGTCAGTCTATTTATTAGGATTATTTCAAGGAGTTAGGGTTAGGGTTAGGGCTGAAGGTTTAGGGTTTAGGGTTTGTCCGTAGATTACAATCACGAGACACCAAGTCTACCCGTTACCTTCGTAATTGTTCGTGACCTATTCGACTCTTTCCGTTCATTTCCGTGACGTCACAGGAATGACTCGATAAATTTGCACATTGTGCAACAGTGTGGACGTAGCTCAGTCGGTTAGCTGTCGGGCTAACAATCCGAAGGTCGCGGGTTCGCGTCCGATGGGTTCTCACAAACTGGTTGCTTGTCTTAATGGCACGTGACCTACGGCAGGGATCGTCCTCACGAGAAGTTGTGGTGCTGTATTCTAAAGGTGCTCCAAAACTGAGATTCAGCGGCAATTGTAACCCTTATTTAAGTGTTGTTCATTATCAAAATATACATTTCGCCGACTCGTGATCAATTCCTTAGAATTCCTTTACAAGTTGTATGGATATTCAACAATGGTATCTCGTGTTACACGGACTACAGTGATATCATAGGGTATCACTACACCTTCTCGGGGGTATTATGAAGCTAACGGAATGAGCCGAGAGATTCCGAGTGCCTGCCAGTGTCAGTGACCAGTATTTTCAGTTCACCTGAAAGGTGAGAGGTTGGGATATGAGTTAACTTTCACCGTTCTTTAGTTGGTTATTTATATTTTTGTGTTTAAACATCTGCCTGTTCTAGTTTGGGAATAAGCAAGTATACATTTACAACTTTCCTTGAAACAAATAAGTAATTTGCATTTCTCATTACATTGACTAATAAAGTTTTCTTTTCTAAGCTCCGCAGCCAAAGTGATTCTTTACCAACTATTCCGAGGTCCCCGAGCGCCAAGTCCGTCACCGTTTGCTGTTAAACTGGAGACTTTCCTCAGAATGGCTAAAATAGAATACACAGTGAGTATTTATAATAAAGCATCATAAGTAATATATACTTAAATACACTCAACCCTGATGTGAGTGACGCGAATACATAAATTAAAGTTATGAATGAAAGTTTAAGACTGTTTGCTGTAACACTGAACTACATCAATGAACGTCATATTTGTCTTATGGATTGGGAAACTGTTTCGATTGTCCTTGAAATAATTCCTGAAATTCACTGTCAAGGACATAGGCTGAATTATTTTGTTCACAGTGAACGGGAATTGTCTATTGTAGTAGGATGGAGCATGTGCGTGCTGGGGGCGGGGTATTGATGTGGTGAGGTTTGTTTTTTGTTTGTTTGGTTGTTTTTGTTGTTTTTTTGTTTTGTTTTGTTGTTGTTGTTTTTTTTTTTGGGGGGGGGGCAGCCAACCCTGTGTTTGTTTGACATGTTCATAAGAGGTGCCACACATATTGTCAAATGGTAATAGTTAGATACGCGGATGCCTAAAACTTATATATACATATACGTTTCTTATTCCTATAGCTACACGATTTGGATTTTAAATAATGAGATTAATATAACACACTAGAAGTCATAATAGCCATGAAGTCAGCAAAACTAATGTTCCTCTAATCACTACATTAGCCAAGTTTGTAAAAAGCCAAGGCTGGATATCTGCGGTGAAAATATTATCTTCGCACAACCGCTAAATGCTTCCCAGAATGTTCCATACTATGGTCTATGCTATTCCAGGGTTTTACATCTGACTTTCCCAAACCACTGCTACATTAGACAGTAATATGTTCCGACATATTCCAATATATTATGGTTAAAACATGATGCTATGAACTGAATCTAAACAGAAGCAACGTCATACATTTGCAGCATTGTTTAGGAACAGACAACACTACCATATTCAAGCACCTGCTAATGCACTGTAGTACCCCATGACCATTATAGACTTGTCTAGGGATCCGACATTCGTCGTGAATAGTTTCTGAATAATGACAGAAACCTTTTGTAGTTGGTTCGAATGAAGGTGTATGAACCTTGGCGAAAACACAACACAAAACCTCCGAGGTTTTCAGCAAGGTCCTAAGAACAGACTTTCCACCCCTACTAAGCTGAAGACATTATGAGTGGTATACTGTTCAAACATCACACATTCATTCAAAGCACATTGCAGAACGACTTCAGCGTGACACAGTCGTCCAAAGGCAAGATCCCCTGGATGAGATACGACGGAGAACCTGTAGAGGACTCTCAGTTCTGTGTCGAGTATCTGAACCGGAAGTTAAACATAAACCTAAACAGTCACCTGGCCGAGGAACAACGAGCTATTGCGCATGCGTTTCGGAAGATGGCGGAAGTGAATCTATACTGGTACGTTATATCATTCTATGAACTATGTTCATCATGAAGCTTCTCTGTGAATGTACTGAATATTTGTGCAGGGATGGGTTTTTTTTGTAAATCGTAATATATGGAAGGGATACTATGGCATCCGGATCTACAAAAACACATATTTTATGTGGATATAATATGTAAATACTCATGTCTGGCGTTCTGCCATGGGGAGGAAGTCAAAATTATTACTACTGCCGCATGGTTGATGAGAGATGTTATTTTCCAGGTGTATGGGATTGGCTAGAATGGAAAATATGGAGTTTATGACAAGTATGTCCGGAAATAGGTTCAACAAATTATTTATTTGGTATGGTATACGCGTGTATCGGAACCAAATGAAAGCTCACGGAATCGGACGACATTCCCCATGACGAATTCCTGCATATGACAGAAGGGTCGGGCCCTGTGGGGCTTTAAATTGTTGTCTATTTTGTATCATCATTTTTAGTGTAGCAAAATAGATATCCCGCGGAGATTGTTTGATGATTTGATTGATTGATTGATTTAATTGTTTTATTGATTGATTGATTTTTTTATTGATTAGTGCTATAACTGATTGATTGATGATTAATTGATTAATTTTTACTGGTTGTTTGATTTTTTGATTAATTGATTGATCGGTCGGTTGGTTGATATGGTCAATGTATTTTTCCTTTTTACTTTCATTTTTCAGGAGATAAGAAGTTCTTTTTCGGCGATGAACCCGTGTGAGACGGATGCTGCTTTGTTTGGACAGTTGTCGCAGATTTACTGGCAGTGTCCAGGAAGCAAAGGGGGAACAACTCTTGAACGGTAGACCAAAGGAGTTATCTCATCTTTGAAGCATTCTTTGAAGAGCCCCTAGACTATGCCATAAATCCGTTCAAACAATATTTCCGGTCCTTTCATTTCTATACAAAGGCATATATCATTAATTTGTTTTGGTTAAAAGGATAAATGGTCTGGGATTTTCTTGAACAGTTAACAAACCTAGTCATATCATGCTGAACCGGGAATTATAAGAATATGCATCATGAAATGTAAACATAAGATAACGTCATTTACGTAAGTTCAGATCCTCTACAACAGTTCTCTTTCAGAAAGATTCTCAAATTTGATTGAGAATATTTCATTGGCAGTCGCATGAACATGTATGAACATAAGGAGGGAAAAGTTATGTCCTAACATTTTAAACTAAGTGGTTCATACCAAGAGGAAAAGACGTGTGAAATATCATCCTCCCGTTCGGTTTTTTTTTCAGAAAAGTTCACAAATCTGGTGGAGTATTGCGAACGAATGAAGGCGGCATTTTGGCTGGACTGGGAGGACTGCATCACGGTGGAAGGAAATGACACGAGAACTTATTAAATGGTCCTGATGAACGTCAGTTGTTAAACCGGAAGTTAATGATGGTTCACGTTGCATGATCCTAACGTCGTTGTAATCCTCTGAAGAAAAGATGTCAGTCCAAATAAAGAATGCATGAAGATACCACACCAAACTAGAATGCACACTAAACTGATGTAAATGACGTTTTAAATTGCTGATTAATAATGTGACGTCATTATTTTGAGTAAAGGTGATTATTTGCCAAATGGGATTTCTCTATTGCAGTTTTTAACATTTTGAAAAGATTCAATTAAAATGATGTCCCTCCCGTTGCCTGCAAAAACACTAACGAGTTATTTGGTCTCTGCATTTCAGACACAAGCATGATTTGTTTAGACGTGTGAGACATGACGTTGACATTCATCATCTGATTCAACCTTAAACCTCAGGACGCGGTAGCAGCGTGGTTAAAGCGTTGACTCACCATGCCGGAGGTCCGGGTTTGATTCCCAACATGGGGAAATGTGTCCAATATGTTACCAGAAAGATGTAAATAAATACGTGATATCGAATAAATTACCTACACCTGAAATTACTAATTTTATTAAAGGTCAGGCTGATATTTTAAAGGACGAACGTTTTGAATACGAACTATGTTTATCCATAGCAAACTTTTAAGAACATGACGCTTTAAGAATGGAAGAATTTTGCCTTTTTGGAATATACATATGTGTGTCAATGTCTAGAAGCTAATAAAGGACTATGAATAATCACGATGAATATGATTGTATAAATTAAGTGATCTATGATATTTTTGTCAGTGTCATGGCGTCAAGTGAAGTTCTTGTTGAAGAGCACATGGATATTTTAAAGTCGGCGCCTTACCGTAAATAGCTGAGAGAACCGTGGGTGTCTGATCCATGTACTCTGCACCAGTGTGTGCAGTATATTTTTGTAGTGGCCGTAAAACAGGCCCGTCCCGTGTTGGTATTCGGAACACATATCCACATGACAGCAAAAAATACATCCATGAGCAAGCTGACATGAACGTGGTGCCATCTTTTGGATGAGTTCACGCCATGTGCGTGTGACAACAGAAGAAGAACACTTTCAAACGTTTCAAACGCAGATTGACTACACTATACCAATATGCATGTGGCGTTCGAGGAACCTCACTACGTGCATGCTACACCCAACAACCTCGCTAGAGCTCAGCAATAACCTCTCAAGGTTTCAATAACATGCATGTCACACCTAACAACCTCACAAGGTTTCAATAATATGCATGTCACACCCAACAACCTCTCAAGGTTTAAATAACGTGCATGTTACACCCAACAACCTCACAAGGTTTCAATATTATGCATCTCACACCCAAAACCTGACTAGACTTCAGCAACCTCTACGTCAGACCAAACCACCCCACTAGACTTCAGCAACGTGCTTCCCACACCAGACCTCATTAAACTTCAGCCATATGCATGTCACACCCAACAACATTATGATTACACAATGCCATTTAGTAAGCGATCAATGTAACATATGTTATATTTGGGATTGCACTTTCTTAGTAAAGTACAGATTCTTGTACTCTTGGATTCGAACCCACACCCTCAGAGTCAGGCACCTAATCGCCCACACACAAAGTCAGCCGCCTAACCCACTCAGCCACCGCGACTTCCAGTCTGTGTAATCATTGCCTTCGGCTGTGAGAGCCGTGCCAATTTACACTTATCAGAGGGGTACACAAAGTCCGCAGTCTAGACTGTGGAAGTCGTGGTGATATATGACATATGTAATATTATAAGTCTTCAGTATCATCTACATCCCATTCTTACGACACACTTCAGCAATATGAATGTCACACCCAACAACGTAATTAGTCGTCAGTAACATCTATATCCCACCTTTAAATCGTTTCTGGGCTTCAGCAACGTGCATGTCATGTCCATCAAGTTCGCTAGACCTAAGCAACGTGTATGCCACACCCAATAACTTCCCTAGAAGTAACAAGTAAGTCATACCCAACAATCTCACTAGAAATCAGTAACATGGAACTCACACCCAACGAGCTCACTAGGTTCAGTAACAAGCCAGTCACAACTAACAACCTCACTAGAAATCAATAACATGGAACTCACACCCAACGAGCTCACTAGGTTCAGTAACAAGCACGTCACACCCAACGAGCTCACTAGAAATCAGTAACATGGAACTCACACCCAACGAGCTCACTAGGTTCAGTAACAAGCAATTCACGCCCAACGAGCTCACTAGGTTCAGTAACATGGAACTCACACCCAACGAGCTCACTAGGTTCAGTAACAAGCAAGTCACGCCCAACAACCTCACTAGAAATCAGTAACATGGAACTCACACCCAACGAGCTCACTAGGTTCAGTAACAAGCAAGTCACGCCCAAAAACCTCACTAGGTTCAGTAACAAGCAAGTCACAACTAACAACCTCACTAGAAATCAATAACATGGAACTCACACCCAACGAGCTCACTGGGTTCAGTAACATGGAACTCACACCCAACGAGCTCACTAGGTTCAGTAACATGGAACTCACACCCAACAATCTCACTAGAAATCAATAACATGGAACTCACACCCAACGAGCTCACTAGGTTCAGTAACAAGCAAATCACACCCAACAACCTCACTAGAAATCAATAACATGGAACTCACACCCAACGAGCTCACTGGGTTCAGTAACATGGAGCTCACACCCAACGAGCTCACTAGGTTCAGTAACATGGAACTCACACCCAACAATCTCACTAGAAATCAATAACATTGAACTCACACCCAACGAGCTCACTAGGTTCAGTAACAAGCAAATCACACCCAACAACCTCACTAGAAATCAATAACATGGAACTCACACCCAGCAAGCTCACTAGGTTCAGGAACATGGAACTCACACCAAACGAGCTCACTAGGTTCAGTAACAAGCAAGTCACACCCAACAACCTCACTAGAAATCAGTAACATGGAACTCACACCCAACGAGCTCACTAGGTTCAGTAACATGGAACTCACACCAAACGAGCTCACTAGGTTCAGTAACATGGAACTCACACCTAACGAGCTCACTAGGTTCAGTAACAAGCAAGTCACGCCCAACAATCTCACTAGAAATCAGTAACATGGAACTCACACCCAACGAGCTCACTAGGTTCAGTAACAAGCAAGTCACAACTAACAACCTCACTAGAAATCAATAACATGGAACTCAAACCCAACGAGCTCACTGGGTTCAGTAAAAAGCAAATCACAGCCAACAACCTCTCTAGAAATCAGTAACATGGAACTCACACCCAACGAGCTCACTGGGTTCAGTAACACGGAACTCACACCCAACAAGCTCACTAGGTTCAGTAACATGGAACTCACACCCAACAATCTCACTAGAAATCAATAACATGGAACTCACACCCAACGAGCTCACTAGGTTCAGTAACAAGCAAATCACACCCAACAACCTCACTAGAAATCAGTAACAAGCAAATCACACCCAACAACCTCACTAGAAATCAGTAACATGGAACTCACACCCAACGAGCTCACTAGGTGCAGTAACATGGAACTCACACCCAACGAGCTCACTAGGTTCAGTAACATGGAACTCACACCAAACGAGCTCACTAGGTTCAGTAACAAGCCAGTCACACCCAACAACCTCACTAGAAATCAATAACATGGACCTCACACCCAACGAGCTCTCTAGGTTCAGTAACAAGCAAATCACGCCCAACGAGCTCACTAGGTTCAGTAACATGGAACTCACACCCAGCGAGCTCAGTAGGTTCAGTAACAAGCCAGTCACGCCCAAAAACCTCACTAGAAATCAGTAACATGGAACTCACACCCAACGAGCTCACTAGGTTCAGTAACAAGCAAGGTACGCCCAACAACCTCACTAGAAATCAGTAACATGGAACTCACACCCAACGAGCTCTCTAGGTTCAGTAACAAGCAATTCACGCCCAACGAGCTCACTAGGTTCAGTAACATGGAACTCACACCCAACGAGCTCACTAGGTTCAGTAACAAGCAAGTCACGCCCAACAACCTCACTAGAAATCAGTAACATGGAACTCACACCCAACGAGCTCACTAGGTTCAGTAACAAGCAAGTCACGCCCAAAAACCTCACTAGAAATCAGTAACATGGAACTCACACCCAACGAGCTCACTAGGTTCAGTAACAAGCAAGGCACGCCCAACAACCTCACTAGAAATCAGTAACATGGAACTCACACCCAACGAGCTCACTAGATTCAGTACCAAGCAACTCACACCCAACGAGCTCACTAGGTTCAGTACCAAGCAAGTCCCAACTAACAACCTCCCTAGACTGCAATATGCACGTCACACTCAACAACCTCGCTGGAGTGCAGAAACATGCAACTAACAAACTCTCTAGATAAATAGCAAAATGCATGTCACACCCACACAACCTCACTATAAATATGTAACAGTCAGAGAACACCCAAACAACATCAGGGCAACTACCGTATGTTGGACTGACTGACACAAATGAAGCGGTTCAGTGACATGACTGGTTTTGGCAGGGCTGCCAGTTTGGACGAAGTTAGGTTCCCTGTACTCATTACAGACATGCCACCGTCACCTGGTGGCCACTGTTACAGCAGATATGAGTGTCACGTACGTGTACCCTTCAGTGATATATCTTAACTCTGATTCAACTATAACAGTGTGTAAAACTGACGCAACTTGATAAAAGGGACCACGTTAGACGCCCTGCTCCACAATCAGGTAGTTCGATAGTGTGCCACATGCTCATCCACAGAGACATAATTTTACACGTACTGCACTAACGACTGACTGACTGACTGAGTTTGGTTTTACGCCGCTTTTAGCAATATTCCAGCAACATCACGGCGGGGGACACAAGAAATGGGCTTCACACATTGTGCCCATGCGGGGATTCGAACCCGGGTCTTCGGCGTGACGAGCCGACTCTTTAACCATTAGGCTACCGCCCCACTGCACTAACGAACCCATATAGGTAGATAAGAGGCAACTAAATGTATCTGGAGATCAGGCTGGCTGATTTAGTTGATGTGTGGCCTCGTATCACAAAAGCGTTGATGAATGCTCTATCGCTAGATTGCATTGTTCAGATTCGATAATTAACAGACAGCCGTTATCCAGGTTGGGACAAAGTCAGGGTACAAACCAACAAACCTCACTACTGAGTGTTGAGGTAGTGAGGTATGAGCGCCATCTGACGAGCCTGTAAACAGTTTGGCCATGAGCTATAAAATACCCATGATGTCAGAGTCTCCAGGTATAACACGACCCAGATACGCTGGACTTTGTATTCCTCATGTCAAGGTTTCTTTATCACAAGGCTTCGTAAACACAGTGTTGACAGTATCTCAAGACTGAAGTAGGTGTACAGTTAGGAAGGGGTGACATGTATTAGAGTTGAAGGTAGCAGTCACGATGTGTGCACTTATATCACGCGCGTGAAATATACGTGTGTATGCACGTGTAAGTTTGTTCTAGCGGGTTTGTCTTTTTGTGTGTGCATGTGTGTAGGTGTCTCTGTCCATGTA